ATGCGTCATTGAAGTTCCTATTCACCCGATTATTATGGCCCTTTTACAACCCATTACAAACCCCTAGGCCACTACTAGGCCCTCAACCCTAAACGGTAAAAGCCAAGCTCCCCCTACCCCCACCCACCCCACCCACCCCCCTCAAACGACAAAATGCATCCAAAAGCTCTAATCCCGTAAAGACACAAACATGTGAAGCCATACAGCCCAAAGTCCCAAGCTCAACAAAAACCATATTCAAAAATCTACAGCACAAGCCACAAGAGGAGTCGATAAAGCCCAAAAGCCCAAACTCAACAACATATACTTAAAATCTACGGCAAGGCCCGAAAGATTGAAGCCGGGAGTCTCGGTATGCCGGACTGCGAGCGCTTGAGGGTCTGCCGAACAGCCTTGCGCCCTGCGGAGGTTTTTGGACCCCAAGAAGGCTCTAGCATATGGGTAGCTTTCCAGGTGAGGGTCGCCTTTGTAGGGTCCGTTTTACAAGGGTGCCGTGCTATGTATGTTTTGGGGGATCTAAGGAGGGACCTTAATTTAGAGACCCACCCATATGGCTCTTTGACGGGGTCCTTTAAAGGGCTAGTTTCCAAGCAAGTTCTTCTACTATCTCTAGCCATGTAAGCCCCTGATGAATCAAGCCCTCTTCTTGCAGGGCCTTCATCTTCAAGCTCTCAGCATACTCCGCTTCAATATAGGGGGTCTATGACGGCTTTCGGGTATATAGAGGATACACATATTCGGGACTGCAACTGACTACGGGTACCAATTATTCGGCCCGGAAATTATGTCATTGCATATTCAAAACAAGGTTCTACAAAGGCTATGACAGGATCCTAATCTGAGCCCTGCCGGGAGTGCTTCAGGGGAGGCTCACGAGGCACCGAATCGTAACCCTTAGCACTACGAGGGTTTACTTGGAGGTTCATGGGGAGTTCTATGTGGGGCTATAAGTAAGGTAAGTATAGTTCTAACCCATATTCGGGGACTTATAACCCCACTTATAGCTACCCATGAACCTCCAAGTAGGGTTGAAGGTTCCGATTTGTGATCAGAAACAATGAGGGGAACCCCAAACCTTTGGTTAGTAGGGAATGGAAGAATGGTAGTAATAGTAGATATAGTTGTATCCCGTTCCTCCATTCCCTACTAACCAAAGGTAAGAATTGTGGATCAGAAACAACGATGGGAACCCTAAACCTTACACTCGACACCGCCGCGACCAGCCCGGTCCTCCAACGTTCCTGGGTACCTCAGGACAGCTTGAATTCAAGGCCCAAAGCTAATTCCGGGAATAGTTTTTTTTTTTTGAAGGCCCTTTTTCCGTCTGCAAATAGGTTTGCTACAGAAAGCCCGAATTTAGGGTTCAGCGTCCCCCCACCTGGAAAACACCTGAAGTAAAGACACATGCTGGATTGAAAAGGCTGAAACCCTAAACTCTCTACCCGCAACGGAAGCCCGAATTCCATCCACGATTCTGGACTTCTTTCATGGAGCCGGCTCAACACTGTCGGTCAGCGATGGGTTTGGGGGCTTCGGGGCTCGTTCAAGAGACATGCAGTACTTCAGAAATTAAGCTAAGCTTTCAGCATTTTGCAGTAGAGGCGAAAACTCCGCCCCACAGACACATCTAAGACTGTAAGATGGTTTAGGGTTTAGGGTTCTTTAGAGGTGGCGGGTTTTAAAACCATTCGACGCATCAGTTCGCAAGACGAGGGAAACTCTGCTTCCCTCCACGCAAGGTACTTCGCTTGACGATCTGCCGCATTTTGTCCTAGACCATCAACCCTCGGAGCCTCAAAAAAGCCCTACTAGTATAAACACTACAAGCCCTGTAAACCCTAAAAGCCCCATAAACCCCAAAAAAAGCCCTGCACCCTAGAAAACTCCCAACTTCATTGACCCGAAACCATAAACCCGGAGCTTCTTGCGTGAGAAGCGACTACTCTTCTTACTATATATCTACCGTACCTATCTGTTCTATCTAGTCTGTTCTGTCTTTTATATTGTACTAGATGTGGTCATACTGTAATACTTTTCTATTCGATTCTAGTATATGGCATTATGCGATACGCATGCAAATAAATAAAAGTAAACTAGTAAACTTATGGATTCAAACCCTTGACCTAGAGCCTGAATTTCCACGCCCAAAGCATTATAACTTATAACGCTTACACTCGGATGTTCTGGCGAGCAGCGCCGTGAGCATTGAGGCGCGTTTCGTGCCGCTGGGTGCCCCCCTGTTGCGGCCGCAGGTCTTCTGAGTTATAACTTTTTGGACTGCTTCAGCGTTCATCCATTGCATGGGAGGTTCGAAAATCTGTATAGCCGGTTTTCGGGCCCACCCCGGACCCCGAATCCTGATTTGTAAGCCTTAAACTCTACACCCCAAAGACCCCAAACCAGAACCAGGAGCCCCACCAAGCCCCTTCAGACCCCGAGCGCTGAACAAAAAGCCCAAACAGCAAGCCCTAAGACTCCAAAATTCTGATCCCCTCAACCCTAAAACCCTCAGGCGCCCGAAATCCTAATAGATCCCTTATAGAAACCCAATGGAACCACCCCGTATAATCCTAAACGATGAAGAACCCCTCAGAGGAACTGTACGCACCCTTTCCCAAACAACTTGCGCAGTCGCGGAACACTACTTTATTTGAAGAAGGAAACCCCCCAAAAGGCGAGGCCTACACCCCAAAATAGTGCACTTAGGTGTCGTATACTATACTCATAACAAGGAACCACCGGAAATAAATAATATACGTAATTCTGAGGCCCCTCCCCTAAACCCTGCACCCCAAAAACCCGAAACCCCAAACCCTACACGCTAAAAACCCTAGCTAGGGCGGCCTGGAGCCAGAGCCGCCTCCTGCGAGGCGCCGGGTCCAGGGCAGAGAGCAGGGGCACCTCTGGCAATCTTGGGTTTGGGGGCTTCGACTCACACACTCGCATCACGCGGGCATGGCTTCAAGCGCTAAGTCCTCTGAGCTTCCGTTTTTTGGGACTGTTCAGGTCTTGGGGGTTCAGGGTTAGGCATGTTTAGGTTTTGCGGTTTAGGGTTCAGTGGGGTTTCGTCCCTCCTACCTAGCAAGGACCAAGCCACACACTCGATTTGGGGTTTAAAGTTTCGGAGTGTTTGGGGTTTGGGGTTTGGTGTTACTTGCTGGCTCAAAGCTCCCATTAAAGCAAGAGGCAATGGGGCTTCATGGTTTTACGAGGGTTTGGTGAGGCGCTTATTGGGCTTAACAGGCTTAAGGGACGTAGGGCTCAGGGCAGCTAGGCCTTTCGGGCGTTGGGGTCAAGGGCTTTCGCGCGTTGGGGCTTTCGGAAGCTGGCTTCGATATGAGAGGCTTTGCCGTAGCAGGCAGGTTTCTAGGATAACAGTGGAGGTAAAACTCCAAACTTTGACCCTTTGATACAGCCCAAAAATGTCCGGTAGCGGCTCAACCGACCCCTGTGAAATGTCGACGATACCTCTAAGTGAAGCACAGCAGGGCCGGCAGGAAACCCTGCCGCTGTCTCGGGTTTACACACCCTAACCTCGGCCCCTTGATACTACAACAACTAGATGGGGGAAAAATATGAGTAAATAAGATCCTCTTAAGCCCAATAAGGGAAAATATAAAATGTCCCAAAGCCCCACCTAGACAACTACCAATGCAAAACGCGGCTTTTCCCCGCATGGCTGGTCTTGCACTGCCCCTCTCAAGGGAACCCCTCCTCTTTGGCAACCTCCAGGGACAAGGGCTTTCCAACTTAGTTTGGTTTAGGGTTTAGGGTTTAGGGTTTAGGGATGGCTCTGGCGGTGCGTACAATCGAAAATCTCATGCCAGTAGACAATGTAGCTACAAGTCCTGCTGCAGTGCAGCTCCGGCATGACTTGACACGGTGAGCTTCACTTGCACGCTTTCACCCTAAATCTGCGATGCCGGTTTCATTCATTTCGGAAATGTGGAAGATGTAGTCGGGAAAATGCGGACGTCTCGCCCCAGAGGCGAACATCTCATGTGGCATTGAAGGTTCGTGGTTTGGAGTTTGCCGAGCGGTGATCTCTTGACCCGATACGGTATTCCGCACAGCTGCAAACCTCAAACTCTAACCATGCACTGCATGGCCCACTAGCTGTGCAAAGTAGGACTAAAGCCTCCTCCATGCTATCCGAGCTGAAATTCAAGGCGCTGGACGGTAGACCTGGCCCACTCAGCAGTGCCCCTAAATCCAACGCGGTAGCGAATTGACGTCCCCCATCACAGCTCCCAACTTCGCCAGCCTCAAATCCCCGAATCCCAAAATCGCCTGACGACTCTAGAGTCCCTTCTTGGGGGGTCGGGGGACTTAGTAAGTAGTTAGTATATAGAGTTATAAGTACCTTAATAGGGAACCTAATTGGTGTTATGGTACTTATAACTCTATAAAATAACTAGTTACTAAGTCCCCCGACCCTCCAAGTTCTAGCAACAATGAAAGCGCGAATCCTAAGGCACACGAGTTCCCAACCCCGACGCTAACCCCCGAGATTCCTAAGACCCTCGGCCTTAAAGATTGGAACAAGGTTTATGGGGTTCTACAAGGGCTACTGTAGGTGTTTAGTATAAGTACCTGAATAATCGTAACAGGGCTTCTGGAAGTGTGTTATATAGTATGCTTGTGTACAACCTGCAAAAGTCGCTCTATACTATGCTCCCGCCCCGGTCCTTGCCTAAAGATGATCTAAAGCCTTTAGCCGTTCTTGCTAAGCCTCGTGCCTCAACCCCTACCGACTAAGTCTCGCCCCTTAACCCTTAACCCTACAGCTTCACCATAAACCCTAAATCCGAGGGCTAAGCCCAAAACATGAAATCCATGATCGCGGTTGATCCCCATACACCCTAAACCCTAAACTACCCTAAACCCTAAACTACCCTAGACCCTAAACTACCCTAAACCCTAAACTACCCTAAACTACCCTAGGGTTCAGGGTTAAGGGCCTATGCAGGCGTGGCGACTTTCAGGGCTTCCCAGGCCTCTCAGGCTGCGGCACCACCGCGCATGGCTGACATTCCCATCTTCGCAGTATTCCTCGAAGAAACAAGGTGTGGGGTTGAATCAAAACATATCAAGACTGATTAGGTTTAGGTAGGATCAAAGAAACAAGGTGTGGGGTTGAACTAAAACACATTAAGACCTGATCAGGTTTAGTTAGGAAGAATTAAGGGGTTGAGGTCATGTCCAGGAAGAGCTACAGTTTGGCAAGTACTCGGGGTTTAAGGGTTTCCGCATCGACCTCGGTAAGCCAATTTCCCTTGACTCCAAGTGGGGTTCAGAAGTGCACTCGGCGGGGTTTCCTATGTATAGTCTCCCAATGTAACCTGCTTACTCAACTATTCCGTGGTCCTCTCACTATGGGCTCTTTCGAGCGTTCGACCAAGTATATTCGAGCTGAGGAAACCCCGTGTATCTGATCTGGTAAGCGGCCGGAATCATTATCCTGTCGCATTGGGTTTCTCGACCCATATGTTTCCTGGCCCGGCTAAACTAGACCCATAACCCAAGTCCCAAAACCCAAGGAAGTAAAAGTTGGAACTTTCAGAATCGATTACCTCATAAGAGCCCCAAAAGTTGAAAAGTTGAGTTTGCAGCCAATAAGATAAACCAAGGCCAAGGTGCATGGGGCCAGGACGAATCTTCTTCCACAGGTCCTTCGGGCGTTTCGTAAGGCTGCCAGGTTGGGGCCTAGCCTTTCTGGGCCATGCGGTCCTAAACCCCAACCGCCCAGAGACTCCAATATCCCTTAACTAAGGAATACACCGTAACATATCATTAGTCCGATCCCTAATCTGATGTAGGCATATATTCCTTAATTAACAGATATTGGAGTCCCTGTGCAAGGAGTCCAAGCCCAATGCCGCATCAGTCATGCGCTCTGAAACTACCAGCAGGATGCCGAGTCCTCGGCCAGGGTTTTACAAGCAGAATCCTACTTGTCCAGTATCCCGGCAACTAAAGTTTAACGGTTAAACATTGGGAGTATATTCGGATAGAATCGTGGTTAGAGCACCGAGAAGATGAAAGGTTACCTACTCTACTATTTACTGGGAATTACAAACAGTTCTTCAGGTAAAGCCGACAGGGTTCATCGCCTAGGGTGCGGCCAAAACCATCGAAGATCCTGGAAACAAACGCACGCACACACACCCATCCAAACCCTAAACCCTCGCAAGCTTCTGAACTCAACCACCATTTTTCGAGCGCCCAACGTTGGCGCTCGAAAAAACTTTCAGCATGTCCGTAGGCAGATGTAGGGTCCCTGGATTAAACCACTTGAACCGCTTGCAATGAAACCCGATGTGAACTGCAGGTGTGGTATACCTATTGAAGGCCCTAAACCCTGCACCCCAAACATCCGGATGGGGAGTCCTCTGGACGGTAGCCCTCCGGGATAATTCGCTCAAAGTAGGCAGGACCTTCGGCGATGACCTCAGGGCCCGAGATGCTCGGCCCTTTAGGACTGTGGACCGTAAACAATCGGATTTTTGGGGGTTTAGGGTTTTGGGTTCAGGGTTTAGGGGTTTGGGTTTAGCGTTTAGGGTTTGCGAGGTTTGATGGGCTCTGCCTCATGCCTTGCTTGGAAATAAGGGTTCGAGTTCGGGTTGAGGATTTGGCTGAAGGCTTGTGAGAGCAGCCGACGTCGGCTGCTTTAACTAGAACGGCTTCTTACCAGAATCTCACCTTAGGGCTTTGTCAAGCGTAACCTCTGCTTCCGTACGGACGTATGATATATGTCCTCTTTAACTATTGTTGCATTCTGTAGTTTGCAACAGGATATTCGAAAGTTCTTCCGGTCTGCTTCTGAGTCACAAAGCAGTGCCCTGTTGCCCGACGCAGCACACAAACCCCAACCCCCGATCCTCAGCGCGCAAACCAACCCTCAAGCGATCGGCTACCGTCCGGAAGCAGCGGAGACTCGAGTATTAAATCCGTAATGGAACCCTAAACCCTTGTGCACAGACTTGTATATGCCCGCTCTAAACCCTAAACCCTGAACCTGAAATCTCTTGCAGATGTGCGGCCTTTGGACGGTATTGCTTCAGGCCGCAGTAGCAACCTTCCAAGCTTGAGCAGCTTGCCAGCGCTCCCAACGTACTGAAATTCCGAAAATTAGGGGTACCTCATTTTTGGGGTCCTTATAGAAAGAATCCTACTATTTGGGGTACTATATAAGGGTTCCTTATTTTTGGAAACCCCCACGTACAGAGATTCAAGGATTTTGAAAGAACCAGCCCTCGTTCCCTTTTTTGACATTCATAGGCAAAAAGCATTAACGCTGAAGGACTCTTTCCATTTCACTAGAAGTAGTGACGCCCAGCTATCCATTAAAACCCCCCCCCACGCCCACCCATGGACCAGTATAAGGTCTGACCCCAGGCTCGGCTAGGCTTTGCACAACGGTACATGGGAAGTTCTGTACGTTGAGGCCCGGAAAGACGTACGTCCCTTGACCCGAAAAGCATCGTCAGCGTAGCCAGTCCAAACAGGCCTTCCTAACCTTGCTGTTTGTAGCCCAAGCCCATCAAATAGGAGGTTATGACATCCCTTAACCTACCAAAACCCACTTTTTGTAGGCTCCCTATAAATTCCATATTAAGGTTTATCATAAGAACCTACAAAAAAAGTAGGGTTTGGTAGTTTAAGGTCATTATTAGGGTACAACCGTTACGACAGGACGCTGTTGGGTCCGCAGGCTCAGGCTGAGGATGGGATGGTTCCTAATGTCACGGCTTTTCAATCTTGCGCATAGAACCTAAATGCCATAGGGTAGGGTTGGGAGGGTAGGGTAGGGTAGGGTAGGGCAGTGTTTTTGGACAATCCCTTTGAGAATTTTCTTTGATCAGCCATGCAAAATAACTCCCAAGAGCACTAAAACTCGTGGTGGCACACACAGCAGAGACCGGAGCCTGTGATTAGGACGGCGGCGATCACCAGGAAGATGAGCACGTTCTTGAGGCCGTACTTCAGCTGATATCTTAGTGGTAACCGAGCTGGAGAACGAGTATCTTCTGCAAAGGCGGGATGTCCAGGGCAGGGGAAACATTCAGTCCGGTCATCATGGGATCTGCCTACTGTATGAGCCTCGCCCTAGGCTTCCCAATCTGCGTGAGATAAAGAACCAAAACCAGAAGTGACCTACATACATTCTCTCCAGGACCTAAACCCACAGTCCTAAAGCCCTGAAGCTCTCACCTAGGCTCAATAGAGCCTTATGGTTGGCTTTATGGAGACCTACCAAACAAAGCACCTTAAACCTACGCTCCTGCCTAGCGCTGATAACAAAGCCTTGTGAAACCCGTAGCCCTACCTATAGGACCTAAGCCCCGGCACTTCACCAGCAGCACGATGATCAGGATCACATCTGCAGCGCCCCAGGCAAGGAGGCACCTCTTGCAGCTTCTGGGGGTTTCCAAAATACGGGACCCTAATATAGTACCCTAAAATCAGGTATCCCTAATTATCGGAAACAGACGACAGATTTCCGCACACGGTTTCCTTAATATCATTATAGTATAATGGGCCCCAGAACCCTTTTCAAATTATTTAAGGCCCCTATAGCAAACCCTCAGGAGATATGAAAAAGCAATAGGCGAAAACATCGAAGCTCTCGCGAACAACGAGCAAACTCATGCACCTTTGTCTCAACTGCTCAACCCACACACCAGGTTCTACACAGACTGGCCCCAAGACGCTCCCGCACTCAGGGAAGTCTTCCTGGCCTCCAGGCACGGGTGTCGCTCTCTTTTTTCCTCGTCACCTTGGATAACTTCGGATTGCGATCATCGAACGTGGAAGCTTAAGCCCTGACGCTTATTGTTGATGCCACTAGGGCTGTGTCCGAAAACGCACTATTCCAAAAGGCTGGCCGGTTAGCTGCGTTTACTTGGGTTCCTGATGCCACGAACCCAACACCCAAACAGATCTCAACAATCTGACCTGTGACCGCCTGCAACTGAAGCTCCTGTAAACTCCACGGGTTAGGGTTTAGGGTCTATAGGGTTTAGGGTTTAACACACCGTTCCCCACGAAACTTTAAAAAACTGGAAAACCGAAAGTAGGCTGTGCATTGTGGGATCCTGAACTGAAGGACAACGACAAAGACTTCCCTGGTCTTACCAGAGAGAACCTCCGCACAAAACCCTTCCAAACCCATGATGCCCGTCAAAGCCCTTAAAGCCTTAAACTCCCTCAGACCCCTTAGCCCGTAAATCCTGAAAACACCACTGAATTCCTTCATACCTCCAAGCACTGACGGCCCGAAAGCAACTGAGAGGCAGCTTGGTGGAGCTGCCCTTTCGCCTCGTCTGAGCGCTGGTAGATCTTCTCTGTGTTGTGGTCCTCGGGCTCTTCGTGCTGAGAGCGAGGGTTCTAAAGCTCGAAAGGGGCCACTATGACGGTTTCGACTCGCACGCTCGCTCAAGACCGTTTAGGAGGTTAGGCTACGAGGGCTCAGAGGGCTACTATGATGGTATATGGTATACTATACGGCTTTAGGGCTCAGCGATATGAGAGCTGGGGGCTTGAACCAAAACTCCAAAATACCCCGCGAACCCTAAACTCGTAAACCCCAAGGCCCGAAATCCCGAAGCCCCTGAAAGCCAAAACCAGCGCCGAGCGTCGATGCGGTCGAGGATGGTCCCCTGGTCGATGACCAACTCAGCCAGGTCCCGGAATATCCGGTTCAGCTCCTGAGTATCTTAAGGGATCTTGGTGTAGGTTTTCTTTTCAAGGAGAACAAGATGCCCCTAAAGGGATTTAGGGTTCAGCTCCTCGGGATGGTGTAGATTTAGGGTTTCGACGCTCACACTCGCACAGGCAGGCAAGGCTCCACATAGTCCAGCGTAACTCCACTACAGCCGCACTGCCAATGAAGGAGGTTTAAGTCATTGTCGCAAATAAGTAACATAACAGCAAGCATGATCACCAGGGTCGGGTTTAGGGCTTTTGGTGTAGATTTTCTAAGAGATAGCAGCAAGATTCACTTAAAGTGGAAGGGAAGGGGACGAGTAAGTAGGCTGTGGGCCTTTTTCTAAGGGGTTCAGGGGATTTCTAGATCCTGTGAGTATGCAAAGGATCACGGAACAGAAGGGTTTGGGGGTGTAGGGCTTAAACACTAAGGCTTACTTGGAGGTTCATGGGTAGTTATAGATGGGGTTATAAATCCCCTAATATGGGTCATAACTATAGTTACCCGACCTTTGACCCGACTTATAACCACCCATGAACCTCCAAGTAGTGTTTAAGGGTCCAGGGACTTAGCAAGTAGGGCTTAGAGTTTGGGTTTAGGAATGAGGGCTTGGGGTTTAGAGTACGGGCTTGCGGGATCAGGAAATTTCGTAAGTAGTGAGTGCAAGGTTCTAGGCAGGATAACACCACTTGCGATTGGCAAGCTTGTCAAAGTCTGTACATGTCCTGCCGATTGCTTGAGGCATCTTTACAGTTGCGAGAGTAGCAGCTAGGACCTCTGGGTAAAGGTAGCAGGGGTGTCTCGGCTGAAGTTTTAGAGTTTAGTGCAGGGTTGAAGTTGAAATAATATGGCTCCTGTGGATCAGACCTATCTTCCTCCACCGTTGCTACAGCCAAAGCTCCTAGGCCTAGATCTCCCGAAACCCCAAACCCCAAAGCTTTGATTCATCTTAAGCCCCGGAAGCACTTAAAGCCTTGAGCCCTAAACCCTAAACACCCCTCAACCTGAAATCCCTTAACTAGTAACCCCTAAAGTCCCTAACCCTACTGTAAACCCTAAACACCCCTAAAAACCCTACACCATGGTTCCCTCGCTGTAAAATTTAGCAAGGCGACGACGACTGAGGAGGCGATCTGTGCGATGTCGCTGCTGCGCTGAGCGGCAATGGCCTTGAGCGTTCGGGGGACATAGCGTGCTTAATACAGAAGCGTGAATTGATCGAATACTATTCCTTCAAAGGGCTGATTCACAAAAGCAAACCCTATAAAGCTGGAAACCGGATTCAGGCCAAATAGTGCTGGGATTCCCTATACATTACTCTTACGGGTTGAGGCTATGGGGTTTCCAACTTTTGAGCTTCTAATATATAGAGCGCTTCATACAGAAGCGTGAGTTCATCGAATACTATTCCTTGAAGGGCTCCTCACCCAAAACCCTGTTCAAAACGTCAAAGGATTTGGGGTTTACGCCTCGGCCCCTAAATTCCCTAAACCCACAAACCCCTAAGCTCCGAACACCCTAAGCCCCAACGCACTAAATCCTACCAAACAAGAAACCCCTTAAGCCTAAACCCCGCAATCCCCAAAACCCCTGAGCTCTGAACACGCCTAAATCCCTGAGCTCTGAATCCCTCAATCCCTAAGCTCTGAACAGCCGCAGGCCTGAAACCCTAGACCGCCCCAAGACCCGAAACCCAAAGCTCTGAACACCCCCAGCCCGGAGCTCTAAATCCCTTTTGCATCCAGGCCTCTTGAAGTCTTGCCGCTCTAAATCCCTAAAAACCCAGAAGCTCTGAGCTTGGGGTGAAACCCTAGACCACCCCAAGCCTGAAGCCCTAGATCCCTAATCCCTACAACACCCCAAGGCTCTGTGCACCCCAACCCAAGCCCGATGCTCTAAATCCCTAAAACCCGGAGCCTCCATCTCATCCAGCTCATTCAGCTGCTGCTGCATCTGCACTGGAGCCTCGGACGTGAATGCTTCAACGGCTCCGAAGCCTAGGGGGTTCCGTTAAGGGTGCGACAAGGCTACACATATTATGGGTTCTGTAAGGGATGCATATGTTACAGGTTCTGCAAGGGTGCTATGATTCCTTAGGGCTCCTTCCTGCAATTAATGATACAATCGTATGCTCCAACACCCCATTCTAATCATTACAAACGGTGCTCAGCGTTTACTGACTTGTTTTCCTAGGGGTCGAAGCATTACGTAGGGTCCACGGGTTTAGGGTCTAGATATTAAGGCTTTGCGGTTTCAGGGATTGCTGATTATTATGGGCGTGGTGCTGAAGATGAAAACTCACGGCGCCTGAATGCCAATACTACCTTGGATTTTTCAATGTTCTACTGCGGCCATGACTGAAAATTTTAGTCAATTTGCCAATGCCAAAACCCTTATGACAAACATCATCACCTCTGTTTCATCGCTGATGAATGACAGCAACAAGAACTTGCAAGTTGCAAGAAAGACACCTGCTGTGGCAAGGCGCTAAATCTGATCACGGCATTCACTAGTCGTGGTGGCAGTGGCGCAGCAGCCGCAGTAATGTTACTACCAGCATCAGCTACAGTACTACCAGTACTAGATGCAGCACCAGCAGCAGCAGCTACTGTAGTAGTAGTAGTAGTAGTAGTAGTAGTAGTAGTAGTAGTAGTAGTAGTAGTAGTAGTAGTAGTAGTCGCGCTGGTGATGGCGTCGTCGGAGTAGTGGCCGAGTCGTACAGATAGCACCCGCAGCAGCCGTCATCTTGACGTATGCATTACAAAAGCAGCAGTAGCAACGGGTGAGTACACCTATTGTTAACCGAGGAAGGACAACCACATGAGCGGGAACTATATGCCCTTGTGCACTGCCGCGCTCAATTCATGCTGAGCTGCAGTACTGCGTAGCTCTCTCTGCCCGCCGTGCCACACGGTTACACGCGATGCATAAACACTAGCCCCAACCCTGCAGTCCTGGGCCATCAGGACTTGTGCAACCGCCCGACTCTTGCAACTAAAACATTTGAAGCAAATCACTGAAGCCTTTGCAACCTGTAGCCGTAGACCCTCCAAAACCCATATTCCTCCGTCACAATCCCAGTCCCAGACACTGCAGATGACAAGGCCGGCCCCCCATAGCCACCAGAGTCCTCTGCAGCTGCAGCCGCCGCAGCGGCGCTAGGTGCTTCCTTCCTTCGGCGGCTGGGGCTTAGGGTGGCGGAAGTTCCACTAGCTAGCAGCAGCAGTGGTAGGCCTTCCATTCAACACCCCCAGTAAAAAAACACATGCGGGCGAATCCTCCCGAAATCATCCGCGCCCTTTCAAAACTATTCTGGAACTAGGGGGAGGGTTTCAGGGCTCCAAAAGACCCTTGAAGAATAGAAGGCCCTTGACCCTTTTCCCTAAGCCCCTAATTAAGCAACAATCCCTCCCTTTCCTCACTCCCAAATATGACAATAAAGATGAAAATGCACCCTAATATCTGTTGGGGGGGGGCCGCGTTTAATACTGCAGGAAAGGGATTAGGGATGGAGCTAGTAGCGGCGGTAGTAGTGGTGGTGGTGGTGGTGGCGGTGGTGGTGAAGGTGGTGGTGGTGGTTGTAGGGGTAGGGGTTTTTGGGTAGTGGTCGTGAAGTGGTAGTGGAAGGCAGTAGTGGTGGTAGTGGTAGTAGTGGTAGTAGTGGTAGTAGCAGCAGTAGTTGTCGCAGCAACAGCCGTCGTCGTAGCAGCAGTGCTACTACTACTACGCCACAGTTGGAATCTGTTGAACGATCATCACAACCTGTTTCAGCCAGCGCCGCTTCCTCCTATCTCTTAATGGAATTCTGCAGTCGCAAATACGTGCTTGAGCATGTAACATACCGATATATACATGTACGGATGCGTGTGTGTGTGTGTGTACGTATATAGATATATGTACACAAAAACTCTCAGGGTATCTCAGGTTTCTGTTTGTATGCATTAGCTACATTATGCGACCGCTGCGAGGGGACTACAATTTGCACAGCGTAGTGAAAATCCAGAAACTTTCGTTTCCGCGGCTCATCCTGTGAGAGCCTCAAGCTCGAAAAGCCTACAGAACTACAGTCAGCCACTGACGTGATGATCGGACACGACTGCAGGCAAGAGTCCGGCTCTTCAGCTGCGTCATGTAGGCCTCTTGATGGCGGAAGCGAAAACCACGAACACAACATCATATCCTTCTTGGGGCCTCATTACAATTATGAACCTGCTCGTGAAGTACTGGAAACAAACCCCCTAGTGTTGAAATCTAAATGGTTTCGGGCAAAGGACTTGAGGAGTTTCCATCGCATATTGAAGTCAGCACTCAGCGACTGTCCAAGCTTAGGAAGCCCGAAGAAAGATCCTGGAACCCCACTCAGGTTCTCGTCGAGCCCATTCTTAAGTTGTGTAATACAACAATATACTGCAGTAAATAACAGCAGTAGCCGCAGCAGACGTAGAAGTAGTAGTAGAAGTATAAGTAGTAGAACTAGTAGTAATAGCAGCAGTCGTAGTAGTAGTTGTTGTTGCAGCAGAAGCAGAAGCAGAAGCAGAAGCAGAAGCACTAGCGGTAGCAGCTCAGTAACAGCTAAACACGTTTTGCTTTCGCCGGTGTCTACCGCCTACTACTCAACAACCAACCGCAAAAACAACATCAGCAGCACCAAAAGCAGCAGCAACAACACCAACACATACCACCACCAACAACAACCACAACCAGAATGACGAATATGCCATAATTGCTGTACTTCAAGGTTCTTCAGGTCTCCAAGCAACTTCAGGATTTTGTCCAGCGGGCCGTATACTGTAGCTCAGTAGCTGCTCGTTCCCTTTGTGGCCGCATGGGCTCCGGCCTTCTGAAGTTCGCGGCAGCGCTTGGAAAGGTGCTGCAGCTGTGATGCCAGGTTCCTGTTTTACAGCAACTTTCTAGATACCTTCTCAAGGGATTTTGTGGACCCTGAACTGCAAACCCTCAAGACTAACCCCCTGAGTCGTAAGACTGTGTGCGTGGTAGGCATTCCGGAATTGCAGAAGCCCTGCTAAGCGAGCAAGCTTTCTGCGAAGTTGGATGGAGACTAGACGAGACGAAGCTTCAATCCCAAATCCTAAGAGGGGCCTCCACACGTAAGAGTCGGGCGTTTGGGGGGGTTCTTCTAGTGCGATAGTCACACGACGAAGTTTTAGAAGGGCTCTAAGGGAATATCAAATGTCAAACACTCATGACTCCCAAATTACATCCCTAACTTTCTCCCAAACCTCAGCACTACAACCCCAAAGCCGAGGCGTGAGACCCGAAGCCCTAAACCCAACGATCCTCCCAAAAGCGTTTACTCAACGATTCTACACAGGGCTACTACACCGCTCTATAAGAGGGCTTTATGGGGTTTGGGTTTAGGTGTCGATACTGAACTACTCAAATGGGAGTTTCCGAAAACGGGGGACCGTAATATAGCACCGCAAATAGTAGGATCCATCTTGTAAGGACCCCAAAAGAAGGTACCCCTAATACTCTGAAAACCCCAAATATCAAACCACCTTGAGGCTCAGGAGGTACGTGGACTATAACTGGGATCACCCCAAATAGGGGTACTTCTACCTCGACTGAGAGCCTGTTTACGAAGTCCCGGATCCTCCTCAAGTGGCGACTTGATCCCTGATTTCTCCTCTGCATGTTCTGCCGGAACTCATCATCCAAGACGCCTCGTCAAGGTTCCATCTTGGGTATAGGCACTCACAACCTTAGACCCTTTTATTTGTAACAAGGCTCTATGCCATAAAGCGTGTTCTGTTTAGGGTTGTTCTTGCCTCCTAAGGAAACAGGTTTTAGGACTCTTTCAGGGTCGAGGGTTTCTCGGCAGCCGCGACTAGTGACCTGAAGCGCCCAACAAACCTACAGGGCTTTCACGACATGTCCACTAAATTTATGGACGGTTTTAACGTCCTAAGTTGGTATGTAAGGGCTGACGGGCACTTCGGGATCTTGGGTTAACGCTTGCTTTGCCGAAGACTCGTAGGTTGCCAGAACCGCTGTGACTAGGGTGTACACACCTCAAACGTCTAAACTCTCAACCCGTCTGAAAAGGCACGAACCTTCACGTGGCCGCCCTGAAATGTCGGCAAGACCCTTCGATTTAGGGCGAAGGCCAAATTGGGGCCTTTATAATTACCTATACTTATTGGGGTTTCCTGACCGTAGTAACAGTATAGTATAACCCACAAACCTGTTCTAATCATTGAAGCGCCCATATAGAGGTCTCGTCGATAGACCTGGAGCTGGGTTTGTAACAATCCCCTCTTAGCAAAGCCTTTAGGGAATTAGGGTATAAGGTTTAAGGGTTTAGGGTTTTTGATGCTTTCTTGCGAACCCGAAGCCTCATGACCCAGACCTACAAACCACACATCCTACAACCCAACATTCCTAAACCCTGAAGCCCAAAACGCGCAACACCTAACCCTAGTAGCAGCCCTTAGCCAGAAGTCTTTTTGGTGGCCCGGTATACTGTGCCCCTAAACCCTATTCTAATTACAAAGGCTCCCATGTTTTTCGTACCCTAAAAAATCCCTTATAGTACCCCTTTAAGGAGCCCTTATTCACCGTGGCCTTCTTTCTTTCGCCCGATGTGGCGAATCTGGTGGATGGTCTGCTCGCAGACTCGAATCTGGGCTGCGACGTTGGCAGAGATCACCTCCACCGAGCATCAAGCTGCCAAAGGAAGGGCCTTTAGTAGAATAGGGTGTTGGGTATACTATGTATATTAGGTTTTGGGGCATGCTCAACCCCACGCATAGCTAAAACCAGACCTAGGACTTAATCCGAAAAACACTTACCGCAAAACCCTCAAGTCTTCAAGCCCGCCCCCCATCTTAGATGGTTTATATCACCAGCCTCAACCTCACGCTCCCGGCTGCGGCATTGCGCACTGTCCTGCGCAAGCGCGTCTGAAACTTAGTATATATAGCAATCACACTCGGACTCGCCTGGGGTTTAGGATTTAGGGTTTGGGGGGGATGTAGGGTCTTTATAGCTACAACCGGGTTTTCGTTCTCGAATACATGCGGACAAATGTAGGAAACTGGCGCAAGGGATGCACAAAACGCCAGTCCAGTATGCCTTTTTGCAGAGACTCTCGGACCGCTTCAAGAGTATGTGAACAGAAAAATCGAAGGCAACAGTCTGCAGATTCCTTCCGTGCAGGTTTCAATTGAGTAAGTTTATGCTTACCTGCTTCTTGGGTCCTTAGCCGCATATCCCGAATCCTAAACATCAAGGCCCACGCCAACGGACGTCATAGACGCGGACACAGTGTAAAAACTGTGCAGCACCACTCCAAAGCCACCAGCAGTTCAATAGATTTAAAGACAACTCAAGGTCAACCCAAACCCTAAACCCTGAGGCCTAATGCTAAACCCCTGAAGCTTAAAAGCCCTAAACACAACTATTGCAAAACATGTAAGTGCCTCTGTTCTGCACTCTCCTCGGGTAGCGTCAGGCGGTGCTGATGGGCCGCGACAAGCTTCCTGAGGCTTCGACTGCTACCGATTAAGCATTGCAATACAAAACTGATTTTGCTGATCATTGAAATTTCTTGCTTTCTCCAGGCTTGAGGGGCACGCCGGAACAGCCTCTCTCTCTCTCTCTCTCCTCCGTGCCATCATTAGTTTGATAACTACTATGTAGACGTGTTTGTAGTGATGCATGCTGTGAAATAATCTTTTGCGGGTTGATGAGAGGGTTCCTTAAAAGTTCTATGAACGGTGCTAGAAGCAAGCTGTCAGAAATTTACACAGACTTGGGGCTTTGGTGTTGGGGGATTTTTACATTCCCATAGCAATGTGGTAAGTCCTGCACCTGCCCCCGTCCGCCGGGGCTGCCGAATTCATCCTGAAATCCTTGATGTACATGTGTATGTATGTATATAAATATGCACAAAAAACTGTATATATGAGCAAAGATTGACAGGTAGATGGATAGATAGGTAGATATGCTCATGAATATGTATATATAACCGTACACACACCCGACAGGACGCGCTCGAATAAGGAACCCTGAATAGAATACTAATTATTCCTTACGGTTGCTTTTTGATAGGATACTATAGTAGCCCCCGAGGTCCTGCTCTAATGATTAAATCTCCCATACTCCCTATTACGACTATACAATCCCCTTCAACACCCTCCCGCAACAATTAAGGCTCCGATATGTGGGAGCTTCCGAAAATAGGGGACCCTAATATAGCACCCTAAACAGTAGGATTCTTATTATAAGGACCCCAAAATAAGGTAACCTAATTTTCGGAAGGTCCCATTCCCAGAGGCTCCAATAGCCCTTAATTAAGGAATATCGTTCTATGCACTCACGCTCAGTGTTTCCTTAAGGCTCGCAACTCAGCAATCACTCGTTCCATGAGTTACTCGCCCATAGTGCGTTGGTGGTCCCTGAACACACAGGGGCCGCCCCACGGCGCGCTGTGTACTCAGCGAACACTCATGGCACATGGGATAAACACCTCCCATACGCCAAAGCGGCACACAGTGCCTCTACCACAACCGCCGCGAAGGCGGAGGGCAGTCGCTCACCCAGTGAGTAAGACTAAAATCGGATCTGGAATCTAGATATAGGGAGAGGAGGGTGGGATGAAAGATACACCCAGCAACTCTGGGTACACCTCACACACTGAGGTCAACAAAACAGAACACCATTTTGGCCTTGAGCCACAACACGCAGCGCATGGCTATTCTAGGTGGTGAGGTACGACTGAGGTGGAGCACAAGAACGAACACCGTTCACCTAGCCTGCCCGAAGCACAAAACGGTAGCACGTTCTATGCACTCACGCTCAGTGTTTCCTTAAGGCTCGCAACTCAGCAACCACTCGTTCCATGAGCTACTCGCCCATAGTGCGTTGGTGGTCCCTGAACACACAGGGGCCGCCCGGCGGCGCGCTGTATACTCAGCGAACACTCATGGCACATGGGATACACACCTCCCAAAGCACTTCGACACCTGCGCCGGCTGGCGCTGGTCACCCCAACGCACTATCTCCTATCTATAACCAGGGAACGCAATCACAGTGGCTCTTTCTGCAGCATACCTCGCCCCTAACTCGCTCTGGGGTGTAGCAAATGACATTACTCACCCACATCTTGGGTGGGATCCGCTGCCAGCAAGGCGCGTTCTACGCCAAGAAGCTGAAAATAGCAGAGCGCACTGCAAGAGGAAACCGCCAAAGGAAGACGGGAACTGCACTGGAGTGAACCTTGAACCTGTGGCGCCTCCACCATCGGTCCTCAAAGCCATCTCGCGAGATGCCATCGGCCCAGTTGCTGCAGCTGGGCACCCACTCGAAATAGAGATAGCACCGCAATTGGAACAAGAGAATGTGAACGTTTTGTGCCATGTGGTCAAGTTCTGGGCTATCGCTCCTGCCCCGGACCAATGCCATCAAGGCTGCTATATTGTCGACATACCACACCCCGGAGGTACCTTGAAACTCTTCAGGGAACGTAATGAGCCCTTGCAACACCATAAGCAGCTCTAACTGGGCGATGTTCGTTTCTTGCTCGTCCCAGAGATGGAACACGGCATCATCAACAGGGACGACTGCGCCTAGCCTTTCTTGCCTGGGAGTAACAACAAGGAACCCTCCGGATCCAATCCGGCATGCATCCTGGGCAGCATCACTGGCCGCCAAGACTCTTCTACCCAACTGGGGAAGAACGCGGACAAGACGCTCAGGCCGCATGTCAAGCACAGCTTGGATGGTGTCAAAGGCCGTACGCAGCTCGTCAGCGAGCCGAGCATGTCCCCGAGAAGCATACTGCCGGTCCTTTATAGCAGTGAGGCCGGCGCCCAAACACACCTTGATCGAGAAAGGTAACACACCCGTACAACTTGCTGGCTAGCCCTGGTTTGAGGGTGTCGGTTTCCTGGGCTTCACGGACGATATCTCCGATTTTTTCAACTACGGTAACCTCTCACGCACCCAGACGCGGATGGTGCCCTGCTGCAGTTGAGAAACATCATGCATGAGCCCGAGGAAGTCTCCGGTGGCCGCCGGCTCCTGCCGCTTTTCGGTCGAGAAAGGGAACCCGAATAACTCAAACAGCTCTTCTATTTGCCCTTGTGTCTCGGCGGCGAGGCTGCGCCAATCCTGCACTGTCAAGTCGTCAAAATACATTGACACCAATCAACGGAGCAGTCTCCTGCACACACACTGCAGAAACATGGGGAGCCTATTGAACGCGGAAACTGCAAGCGGCAACCCGAACAGCATGCCCTTATATCGCCTAAAACGTGGGCCCCCAGCCCGAGTGGTAAGCCACAACACACGCCCAGGCGTGGTCCGGGTGCATTGGAATCTTGCGATATGCATCAGGCAGGTCTTCCCCTGCTGTGACCAGGGTATCAGGCCACGTGGAACAACTCCTTCCTTGGCGAACCAACTCTGCTGCAAGGGCTTGCGCATGAAGGCACGGCTGAATAGCTGTGAGCAGAACTGGAGCTTGTTGGCATCACTACTGACTACTGAACTCGCTCTGCCTGCCAGCCAGAGCATCATCAATGACACGCTTCTTACCGCTGGCCTGGGTGACAACAAAGCGACGAATCACGCGAAAAAGCGGCCCAGCAGTCAGCCCCTGCCACCCCACGCTCGGGTGACAGAACCCTGCCTTCTCGTCCTTCTCCCCAGCTTCCCACACAACTTGGTCGTCTTCTGACGGCTGCAGAGAGGACAGAATGGCTTCGGCATCACGTCTGCCCTCACTCAGGGCATCCTGCAAGGTGCAGAAACGCGCGGGCTTGCTTTGCCACACCCCGCAAGGCTCCTGGTAGCCGACAGCCGGGAAGCCGTGCAACAGCCCTTGAACAAAGGACGTGTCCGGCCAGGCCAGGAGCACGACGCACACTGCAAACAATGCAAGGTGCACACGCGGATTGACGGAATAGACGTCCGGATGCTGCACAGCACGCAAGCACTGCGACACAGGCCAAAGCCGCCTGCCAAGCTCCTTCAAGAGTCCCATGGCATCTGCTCTGGTGCGCCGCAGACGCGCGAGGTCAGAGGCTATGCTAGCTGCTGCGAACTGCACATCGTGGTCCACTACCGCTTCCCAATCGAGAGGGCACCCGTGCAGCTGGACATCGAGGGCGCCTTGAAAATGGCTGTCCGCGGTCTGTCCGTACGGCACGACGGGCGGTAGGGCATGGCGCTTATTGGCAGCAGCACCTTGGTCCGCCGCACTCGCTCGCTGGGCCATTACACACGCCGAGCCCAGGGCTCGAGGGCCAAGCACGCCGGCATCAGGCAGCCCGCGCTCACGCAGCCAGTCACCAAAAGCTGTAAAGTGCGGTGAGTTGACGAGATCCTCAATGTCTGGCCAGCGCAAGGAAAGGCGCGAGCTACCCTGAATAAAGGATTGGGCAGCAGAGACTATGGATGACTGACTGACGGGTAGGCGACACTCCCGGGGATCTGCAGACCTGCTGCCGTCCCGGCCGGCCACAAAGGGATTCTCCCAACACGTGACGGGCAGCCTATGCGAGAAGTGGCTGTGGCCTATGTATACAACATCGGCTGGCAACGGTTCACCCCTGCACCACACATCCTGCACCTGCACTCGGACCGCAGAGTCTGGGAGATGGCCTCAGGCCAACATGCGCTGCCATCAGGGCCATGGCATCTTCACGAAATGTTTGAGGCGGCAACTTTAGCAAACCCTCCAGTCGCCGGACACTTGAACGGGAGGGAGACGCTGGATTCTCAGCACTGCATACCCTTTATCCACTGCCCAGTGGGAAGCAGCTGCAACAAGCGTGAACCAGAGCGAAGCAGAGTATTCAGCCTCTTCTGTGCCAGGATAGCTAACCCCTGAATCATGGACGGTTGGAGACCACTCATGCTCATCGTGTAGGTGCCCGCACTGGTGGAAGGGCAACATCTGCATGCTGTCAAGGTTGTGGCGGATGACTTGGAACTTTCTCCGCGCGGCCAGGAAGACACATGCAAAGTGTTTGAAATCACTCCATGCTCCTGTGCCTTCAAGATACTGTTCCACAGTATCAAACCAGTGCAGACTATTGCCAGGGTTCTCGCGCATGGCACCTCTACCATGCGCTTGCAACACATGCTGCGCAGCGAGCAAGAAGTCGGAGCACTCGTTGTCGGCTGCGATCCGGGCAGCTTCTGTGCCCTTCACATTGGGAACGCCCCTCGGGAACTGGGGACTACGCAAAGGCTTAGACACACGCTTGGTGCCTGACACAGGGATTTCTCGAGATTTGCACTTTGTGCTGCAGGCTATTGCAGCAGCGCAAAGGTGCACGGAGGGCAACAACTCCCCAATTGCATGCTGTACTGACGGATCAGCGACGTCAAAATCAGGATTGGTGGCAATGTCAGACGGCTGCAGCACTTTCCAACCGGCCCACTGAAACGCACGCGCAAGAAGACAACGGGGCCCGGAGAGCAAGTCCAAAAACACGGGCACTGGGGCCTGGTCATCAACCGGCTGAGCCTGGGACTGCCAATAAGACTCTAATTGCTGAACATGCTGAGGGAATGCGGTGCCACTGGTACCTCGCAACGGCGCAGACTGTGCCACGCTTCCGCGCCCGCGAGCATCCTCGCTCTCATCTGGCAATCAACGCGCACGCTTCTGGGCCTTGCAATGCTTTCCGATGTGGTTTTTTGAGCCACACACTCGCCCAGTGCGGAAAGTCATCGCACACCGATGCTGGCTGGTATGCGTCACAGAGACGCGTGCCATCGCGGAACTGCTTGGCCAGCTGGCCACTGTGCGAGAATCCTCACTCAGCGCAGCCTCAGTGCTGACACGCCTGGGCGTTGGGGGCAATGGCGGCATCTCCCTGCCTGGAACTATGACCGCAGGAGCCAGCCAGTGCGCATCACGCTCGCGATAGACCGCCAGCACACACTGTCCGAGCGTGGCGGAGCTGTTGGCAAAGCGCTGCTCGCCTCGCTCAGCTCGGTCCAGACTCTGGATGTGCTGCAGTCTAGCACGCTCCGGCAGCTGGAGTGCCAGCTTTTCACAACGGTACAAGTACTTGAGCAGCACATCCAAAGGCACTTGCACATGCTCCACACTGTTCTCTGGCGTTTCCTTGCCAGTTGGCACCGGATCAACTGCTGTAGCCCCGGGCAACGCCAGGGAGTAAAGGTAGACACGCAACTGCTGCAGATAAGTGAACCACGTCTGCTCGCCTGCGGTTGCATCGTCTTCATCTCCTTGCTCAGCGATAAAGAGCATACTTCCAGCCACACGGCGGCGTTTGGTCGTGGATGTGCGCTGGTTGAAGATAGACCGCACGTCCCACACATCAACTACATCCATGGACCGCTTGGTGAGCGCACGCTGCGCCTTCGACACCCACCTGTCTGAAGGCGTGTTGTCTGGCGGCATGACGAGGCGGTATCGGCGCCAGAACATCTCTTTGATGTTACTGAGCTGCGAGGCTGGCAAGAGATCCTCTTCGTCGAGAGACACCGCGGCAGCTGAACCCTTGTCTTCACGGGCAGCCTCGGCCTGACAGACAGCTGCCCAAGCCTGGCGCAGTCGCGCTCTCTGCAATTTTGCATTGCCCAGGCTACTTTCCACCGGTGTGAAGAAGGACGCCAGCAACTCGCTATCATCCTGACAGTAGAAGCGGAACTCTGACAAAGACGTGACACCAGAGTCAACGATCTGCTTTGTGACAGCTGCTTCCAACTTGAAGCGCTGGGCAAGATCGTCGAAGATCTGCTCCGGGGTGGCCATGATCACACAGATGCTGGCAGACAAAGCAGCGGGCAGTGGCTAGGCACGGTTTGAGCTGAACGCGGGCTACACAGATACACGCACTCAACCCGCCACTGGCCACACAGCACAACACGTGCTACTGACTCTACCACGTGCAACTCACGTTACGCATGCAACTCACACGCGACCTCCTGCCCATCCTCAGGCA